CAAAGGCGGTTTTCAGTGGAGCCCTCCTAAATAAAAATCACCTAAAAATGACATAAATAAGAGTTACCTAGTAAATTACTACAAGCTAAAATAAATAAGAGTATAAAGAGTTCGTATTAGTTAAAAAGTCAAAATTCTAAAGATTAAAATTAGCTAAAATCATTCAAAGAAGTTTTCAGTTTTGCTTTAAAAATAGATAAAACACGTGTGTCTTTTAATTCACGCAGGAGGCTGTTCCAGTCTTTCGCTGCTTGATAAATGAACATTTGCTCGTCCCAGTTAGTGCAAGGGAGGGACAAACGAAGATTGTTCAATTGTCTCATATTGTGCGAGTGAACAGCTTGATTTCTAATGAAACTGAAGTGAAAATCTGTTGACCCAATTAAGCACTTATGAATTGCGGTGCAACGATGAAAAAATCGCCTTAAAACAAGTGGCTTGAAATCAAGGCTTTTCAAGGCTTGAGTTGACGAGCTTCGGATTGGAAGGCCCAACAGTACTTTAGCAGCATTATTTTGAAGTACCTGCAGTTCTGACATTGCTAAAATCTGTTATTTATGATCTGATTATTGCATGACTACGTAAAAAGGTCATTGCAGGATGCCACGCCATGGCAAGCACCAGTGAGCATAACAGCAGCATCAACAACAACATCATCAACAACAAGAACAACATCTTTTATTTAAACACAATGGGTTTAAAGGCTGGTCAGTGGGGTATCAACAGCAGGGCCTGCGAGTTTCAACATCTTTTTTTGAACATGGTGGGGAGCTTAGAGAATAAATCCACTTGTTTAAAATTACTATAGACTGAGCTTGAAGATCTGGAAAAAGAAATAAAGACCAAGAGTGATTTGTTGAAACTCTGCTTTCTGGCCAAGTGAATGTGAAATAAGAAAGTCTGGAAAGTTGGGTAATGATGATATGAGCTGTACTTGAAGGCTGTTTGCAGAAAGGAGTATCACTTTCTTGAGTTTTAAATGTAGTCTGTTGATCATAGTTTTTTAGTCTGTGGAATTTTTTGTCTGAGAGCAGGTAAATCACATTTTGGAGTGATCATTTCAAGTCTGGTGCTCTCAAATTCTTTCCATTGCTCAACTTGATTAATGTTGNCTTCGGATTGGAAGGCCCAACAGTACTTTAGCAGCATTATTTTGAAGTACCTGCAGTTCTGACATTATGTTGAGATTGTTCTTGTCCCCCCAAATGAGGTCTCCATAATCAAAGAGTGGTAGGATTACGGTGTCGTATAGGGTGACCCTGGCTTGAAATGGCAGTAGATTTCTAACTTTCCTGATTAGGCCTATCCTTTGATTAACCTTCTTACAAACAGATTCGATGTGATCTGCCCAGGACATAGACTGATGAAGTGTTACGCCCAAATACTGGAATGATTCTGTTCTATAGATTATAGTACCCTTTACTTGAATAGATATTTCCTGGATACGTTTTAGTTTGTGTGGACACCCAAAGATGACAAAGTTGCATTTTGATCAATTAAGAGTGCGACCAGTACCCTATAAAAGGTACCGCAAAAGCTCTCATCATGGACCAGGCTCAACACCCTAAGAGGTACCAAAACCACTTTTGTAACCCCCAAAAGGTACGATGGGAGTCATGCGCCATGCTTGTTTCCGCCGTCATGAAGCTGTCCCACTGATAGTTAAATCCATACTTGTAAATGTGAGCAATTTGAAATCGGTAAATAGAATTTCTTGTAACCTCCATGTGAACTTCCAAGTAATCGTCTTTGATTGTTCTCCCTATACTCCTCATGTCTTGGATATTCTGAGATAAGGCAAGAGGATTGTACTGCCCAGCTATTAAACTAGCTACAGCTGTACCATTATCATAGCAAGTGAATGGGTGTCCTAGTGACAGACGATTCCATATTTCTAATGTCCTGAATAAACAAGGTTACACAAGGCAGGAAGGACACAAAATGAAATGGCTAGAGGTAACAAGCATCTTCACCTGAAGGTTAACAATATACAAGTTGGGTCTTCTGGTCTTCACTCTATTCATCCCCCATAAAGCATGATATCTCTTCAACACCTTCAAGGAAAAGGAGTCAACATTATAGCAGAAATAAATTGATAACTATGATTTCGCATAAAGTACAGTTACAAAAACTAAAGTACTTTATTAAAAAGCCAAGGTTTCTCTTTACTCCGAAAAACAATAAAGAAATTCCATACAAAGTTGTGTCTTGAAATCACTGATGCTAGTGAATTCCACATCATGAAAAATGCCAGAAAAATAAATCTTCATATAAGCAGCTTAAGACACATTATTTAATCAAAACAGTGTACACCACCTTTAAGCTTGATCCTAAACAAAGAATACAATCTGCAATTTTTGCTGTCTCCAAAGCTCCCTCCCAGTTTAATGGCCATCTCAGGTTACCCTTTTCACCAAAATGAACTATGGTATCTCTTAACTGTGAACTGCATTCGTGGCAATAACGATTTGTTTGATGTCTTCTCAGTCTTGTGTTTTCCGTTACATCAAACAGGCGATAGTAGATCTTGTCATTTTCTTCGCACTCTGTGCAGACCTACATGTACAAAATTGTGGAGACATCAGCACCTGAAACTTATTTGTTTTAACATCAGAAGTATTTGAAACAAACCATTGGCTGACTGCTTGAGTGAGTTGGCTATAATCATCTCATAGACAAACAAATGCAAGTGGAATAATAATTGTTTTAATAATTATCACATATGGGGCCAAATTACTGAAAGCTGATTTGCTGAGAGAGAGGGCATTTTTTCTTAATCACGAGGGCACTTTTGGTAATCAAGAGGGCATAATTACTTGATGCCGATTGCCTGAGCATGCCTACATTAAGTTAGTTTCTGAGGGTCCACAATAAGGTTCTCGGATCCTGCTTTCCTGCCCAATTTTTTCTGTTAATCCCACCATCCCGCCCTTTTTTGCCTGGAAATCCCGATCCCGCCCACTTTTCAAAGACATTTCTGTGTTAATTATTTATTTGTTAAATTAATAATTAATTTAATTATT